GGAAGGTGAATAACGGGTTTCCATCCACCTGGTTTACATGCAAGCAAAATGCAGCGTAGCGCAGACACAACTCAGCCTGCGGTCATCTTACTGTCGATGCATCTGCTGATGAATGTCCTGCTTCATCAGGTAGTGGCTGGGTCCATGAAATGTCAGAAAACGGTGAAGTAGTGTCTCCAAAGGCCAGATGATGCCACAACCCAAAGATATTCTGTCATAGAGGCGAAAAGAAACCAGGAAATATTTCAGAGCTTTAACAGCTAGAACATGTAGATCTTTGTTAAAGACTAGCTGCTAGTACTGACTGATTATCAGAACAGCTGTCATTGAATGTTTAGCTGAATCCCTGCAGCTCTCATCTCAGCATACGTAGAGCTCGTTAAACATCCAACAAAGAAAGAAACGGAACAAATGACATGCGTCCAGCAGCGTGTTCTCCTTCTGATCTCTTCATCACGGCATCTCGTCTTGTTGACTGAACCCTGACTGTCAGCAGCTCCTAGTGTCCATGAACCAGCTGTTAATGTCCATCTGACCCGTGTAGCGCTGTCCAGTTGGATTTGTCTGTAGCTGCTCTACATCTGGATAGAATCTGGTTTTATTAAACACACTGAGGTGTTTCCTGGTCTTTGTTTTGCAGCGTTGCCGCCGCTGAAGAACAAGAGGCTGAGCTACGAGCGGGTTCCCGGCAGAAGAGATGGACAGACCAGGCTGAGGCTGTTTTAGGCTTCTTAAAGGAACGACACAGGAAACGCGTACCCACAGCAGTCCGTTATCAACGGTTCAAGTTAGCGTCCAGGTTGTTATTCACATGAAGCTTCTACGTTTTAGGCGTTTATTCTATATTGTTCTTTTGACATTTTGGGTTTAAGAGGAAAAAAGCAGAAACATTAATTAAATAAAGATTAAAGTAAGTAATTAGCTGATAAATAAAATACATGTATTGTACTATTTCAGATATATTGTGTTAGTGTTACCTGTCTTAAGGCTTAGCAGCGGTACTCTGTGGTTTACTGAGCACCAGTTATTTATTTCTGTGACCAGCCTGTAGTTCCTCCTGTTGGCTGCTACATAAACACGGTATCAGTAATATCAGAGTCGTCTTCATGTTGTAATTCATCAAACTGTTTAAGGCTGTAAATCTGCTTAAAACGACACGTGCTGAGCAGTTTATGATACGTTTAAATACTGCGTCTGAGCAGTAAAGGTGTTACCAGAGGGTGTGAGCAGGTCCTTTCTACAAAATAAGATTAAACATAATTAGAAATGTGCGTGCATTTGGCGCTCCCCCACACTGAGCATGCTCAGAAGTGGAAAACAAATTGTGATTTATGGTTGGAGGAGTGGGATCGAGGGTCTTTCCCAGCTAAACTGATAAAGTCTCTCATTTTAGCAGCTCCAATGGTGGGGCTTCTTTTTTTCTATAATTTAGTGAAGCAATCCCCTTATCGTTGTCTCTCAGCATGTGGAGAGAGTGCTTATCTTCACGAGCCAGCAGAGTGAAGCCAGCTCCCTCAGGAATGATCCCCAGACAAAGACGGGCCCGGGGACATGGACTCCGAGCCTCCCTCCTGCCTCTGGACAGCCGGATCCAGCCCTGGCCGGCCACCATCAATAACCCGCCAGCTTTTTCTTCTCCTTCTTTTAAACGTCTCTCTCTGCTGCCTCCCTGGCCTCTGCCTTCTCAGAAGCAGCAGACAAACAAAGAGAGAAACGGATTGTTGTTTTAATGGCACATGAACAAAAGCAGTCAGGGTGGTCAAAGGAGTCCCGCATGAAGGCGAGTAAACAGCCGCCTAATGGTGCCGTGATGGCCCGGACTGCACTTAATGGGGAAGGAGAGATATTGTGGGAATTAACAGGCTGTTTAAAGCAGCAGCAGCAGCAGCATCCTTTAGTCTGGGTCCTGCTCTGGCTTCAGCTGCAAAGGTCACGCTGCTGTTATCTTCGATCGCAGGCAGCAATTAACCGTCACCTGTGTGTTTCCCTCGTCTGTGAATCCAAGGCAGAGCCCAGCAGACGCACCTTTTCACTTAAACACTGATGTTAGATAGGAGAGGAAACAAAGATGTGTGGCGTGTTCTTGGCACAAAACCCAAACAGGAAGTATGTCCCGTATTAACACATCTAAACCTGCTGGTTAATCAGAAACACTGGCCTGATGAGCAGCAAAGAAATGACATTTAGATCCACATGCAGATAAACAGTGACTCTATGTGACGGTGAACACGTCTGCAGACAGATTACCAATCACGGTTTATCTACAGATTGTTCACATCGCCCTGATCAGCAGGAACAAAACGTCCAGAATGAGGACGTTTCACATCCACACCAACATGATGAGCTGCTACTAACCCTACAAACCAGAGCATTTTAAGGAACATTTCACTGTTTTGTAGAAACACTTCCTGTTGCTGCAGAATTAGTTTGTTAGCTTAAATCACACTGAATGCATCTACCGCTACAAATGATACCAAAACGCTGGCCCAGTACGGAGTATCTGACAGTGAAGATGTGAATAATTTCTCTTTAACTGGTTCAACATGACCAGTAAACCTGTGAACACACTGTGTGGTAGATTCACGGACCAGCACCGAAGGCCTTGCTGGCTTGTTAGAACATGCTCGTGATCAGCAGGTCCATCTGGGTCCATCTCTGGTGTACCAACAGGACACAAAGTCCAGCCCAGGTGGATGGAAGTGTCCATTTCTCAGGTAGGTGTTGGACAAATTAAAACTTAGATGTGATGCTGGCACCAGAGAAACTAATACAATATAATAACAGAGCGTGAGGAAACACAGCCAGCGTCAGGACGCTGACCCGCTCAGCTCACTGCATTCAGTCATCAGGCTTCATCCTCTGGGCAGCGTGGTCAGTGGTGCAACATCTCCTGGTGTCGAGGTGAGAAGAAAAAAGTTTAACAAAATAGACGTAAAGAATCCAGTGCATGCACTTGCAAGTGAAATCAGTTTGCATGAATCCCAGCTGGTCTGCAGACAGTCAGGCTGCTGCTGCTGCTGTGGTCGAGAGGTTCTGACTGTTCACCGTCATTCATCAGGACTCTGCTTGTGTTTAGCAGTTAAGGTTTTAACTGAAGCAGTTCCCAACAACATGCGGATCAGCGGCCCGTTGAGCAGCACAGCATTGAGACAGAACCGCTAGCTCCTACTGAACACTGAGACACACGTTCATACGTTAGAGTTTGGACCGTAACAAGTCCGGCTCAGCGGTCACCTGGCCCTGCAGGTGAGATGAATATCAACCAGCGGGTCAAAGCACCCTACAGCCAGCGTGTCTGCAGAGCCGCCGTGGAGCTGGACCGGGGCAGAGCGGCGGCGCCGGGCCTGCAGGTGCAGCCTCTTGGACGTGCAGCAGAGCCCATGAATGGTGGATTCAGAGAACGGCCCCCATCGGGCCTGTTCTCCAGGCCCGGGGCTAATCCCAGCCCCTAATCGGATTATGTAAATTCCTACTCCACACAGAGACTTTTATGGAAGGCTGCGTCTTTGAAACAACACTTGAAGGGTGTAAAAAGAACAGTGACAATTGGTTAAACTAGACTTGTGTTTTTTTATGTGGACGGAGGTTGAAAGTGGGAGGCGGGGGGAGGCGGAGGAGGAGTGAGGAGGGGGAGGCAGAGAGGTGACTCAGATGCTGTTTCCTCTGTAATTTATGTGTGGCCCCTGGAATGGCTCAACAAGATTACCATAGTCATCACAAAACACACATTGTCCAACTGTCAATCTGGATGTGCTATTTCTACCTTTTGTGGCCCAATCAGGCCGGACTGAAAAGCGGAGCGGCCAGCGGCATCAAGGTGGAGGGGACGGTGGGCTGTCCATGCCTAATGTCAGAGAAACAGAAAGGAATAAGCGTCCACGGCACTGAGAGAAGGATCAGAGAGACGAACGTCTCAGTTTGACTTGAATAGGAGTGTGTTTGTCACCTCAGCGCTAACCTTCAGGGATTAAACCAGCAATGAATCATAAAAGCAGCACAAATAGTCACTTAAAAGGCTGTTGAGTGATGAAAGCTGCAGAGCAGACCTGGAATCCCCTCACACGGAGAAAGACCCACGGAAATGATTTACAGAGGTATCTTGTGGACGGCGTCATCCTGAATCCACGTCCACTGGTTGGAGCTGGTGGAGCGGTGGGGGGAGGGGGGAGTGTTTACCAACCACACAATGAGCACGAGGCTCCACCACAGCTCACGTCACACAGCCGCTCGCCCTGCTATAAAATGTGGGATGCCAGGATGCAGCATTATCAGCCCTACTCCCTCTCTCTCCCCTTCCTGCTCCCTCATCAGGATCTCAGCAGCATGAGGAGGCACAGCTGAGTGGACCTTCACACCGGACTCCTGGACACTGATGACCTGCTCACAGCCGCTCCGCCACTGACATCTCTGCACATCTCTGCACACGAACAGGTGAGCTGTTTGCTTTCTGCTTTCACTCCTTTCAGACCACGTGTTTCCACCTCATCCAGTAAATAATTAATCAGCGAGGGCGTGTAGTGCACGGCGCCGTAGGAGCTGCATCTGCATGAAGGAGAAGATCCACTTACAGTGTTTATGTTGTTATGCAACCTGAAAGTCTATCCTAATAAAAAGCATTTAGTGTTTATAAAGCAAACACGTCTAGTTTTTAGACGTAGTTTGACGAGAGCTGCCCAGAGTTTAACGTCCTGTTGTTAATATGGGCTGAGCACTGGAGGAGCTGAAAGTCTGCGTGACTGGCCTGAGCCCCACAACGTTTCTAACCCACAGTCATGTAAAAACAGTGTTCTGCTAAATGTTTTCGTTGTGTTTCATGAATAATTTGAACCTTTTGTAATCATTGTGCCAAAGAACCCTGGAGGATGTCCGGCTGTCCAGCACTGCTCACAGTGACGCTTTGTGTATAAAATGTCAAATCAATCGTCTTGTTGTGACTCCAGAACTCCAAGAGACTCCGCTCAGGTCCTAATGACCTTTCTGTTGCAGCCGGACTCAGCACCATGACCAGGAAGGTGTTCACCAACACCAGGGAGCGTTGGCGCCAGCACAACGTCAACACCGCCTTCGCCGAGCTCCGCAAGCTCATCCCCACCCATCCTCCGGAGAAGAAGCTGAGCAAGAACGAGATCCTGCGCCTGGCCATGCGCTACATCAACTTCCTGGTGCAGCTGCTGGAGAGCCAGAGCGGCCAGCCGGCCAGCCACTCCCCCACCGCGCTGCTCACCTTCCTCAGAGGGAACATGGAGCAGCTGCACTCCCCTCCTCACCCCTGGGCGCTGAACAGCGACACCGAAGCTCCGTCACCCGGATCCAGCTGCGACAGCTCCGAGGCCTGGTAGGAGCACAGAGGGGAGACTCCTGAGTGGACTCTGGGAGCCTCGTCTTGGGTCTGCAGACTGATGTTGTCCTTTCCAGACTGAGTTTTGTCTCTGCGTGGCGTCTGGCTGCAGAATGTTGTGTGATCCTGGTGGAGTCCAAACGCTGCTGTTGCTGCTGCAGAGCGAGCGCCGCCTCCACGCCGAGCAGTGTTAAATACTACATAGAATTTAATTTGTGTTCTGCATGGATGTGTAAACCTGGATGTACAATACTCCCCTCGTGTGTTCATGTTAGTATTCCTTGTTGCCGGCTGCCTGGAACTAATTTAGTTTTGCAATGAGGGGGTGTTTTGCCGATGAGGGAAACGGAGGGATTAAGGAATTTCTCATTTCCAGCAATAGATTGAGAAAAGCATTTGAATAGATAATGGCTCAGCCAATCCTCCAGACTGCAGCCGTCTCAGAATAGCCGAGGGCACTTTCTTCTCCCCCAGTCGACATGCTGTGTTTGTCCCCGAGAAGACTAAATCTGACCTTTCTTTTCAATTACCAAGGTTACGAGTCGTCACCACAGTCAAGACTTTCCCGTTTCACACGACAGCGTTCAGCGTGGGCTGATTATTTCTGATTGGACCGGGCTGATTATTTCTGATTGGACCGGGCTGAGGACAGCGGACAGTCCTCTGATCCTACACACATCTTCTCATGTCAGTGTTTTAGTGCGCATGTCTTATAGCCAAAGATATGAACTGATTGTCTCCTGTGAAGCGTGCTCATTTCCTTCTTATACCTCTTTTCTAAGTTATTTCATTTGCTTGTGAATATACAGTATGTTATTTATTTGAACTATTTATTTAATAAATGATTTGTTAATAAATCACTGTTTCCTGAAGTTGTTTTTTTAATAATCACTCAAACCTTCACGGGTCGGGTTTAGGACCAGAAACCTGAATACTAACTGAACAAAGACGAGTCCCGTCATCAGAGCAGCTCGCTTCTTAAAACACGTTCTTATCAGAGAGCTTTTCCTCATTTTATTTAAGTTTGCTGTTTTCTAGCTTCCTGCTGTATTTGTGTGATTTCTCCTTCTATCAGTTATTCTTACTGTATTTAAATTTTTAACTTATTTTTACTGAAAAGCACTTGATAACATTTGATTTGAGAAGTGCTCTATAAATGAAGTTTATTATTATGATTGTAGGAGGTTCTGGGCGTTCAGGACCAAACAGAACCCCGTCAGTATGAACATGTTTAACGGACAGCAGAGAGAGGAGCTGCTCAGAGCTGGAAACACGTGAACCAACTCGTGTTGATGGCGGTGAAACATCTCCAAGAACAAAACACATCTTTAAAACACACTGACATTTATCAGCCAGTTTAACTCACGTACATCACTTCCTGTTAGCGTGAAGGCTTTGCTAGGACACACGGTGCTGGTACCGGGCGGTCCGGACCGTTGACTCTTTGTTCGTGCTCCATGTGGTGACGGAGTGGACACCGAGCTGACCTCTGCTCTCTGTCCACTGACCACAGGCCTCAGAAACCAGCTCTCAATGCGACCGCTTAACTTGCGACCTGAGGTCAGAGGTCGGCCTGAAGTCAAACGCTGTCCAGTCGAGCAGCTGTCTGACGCTAAACGCTGCTGCTGCTGCTGCTCTGAAGGCGTGACTATAGAGGCTGGAGGGGCTTCAAAGGAAGTCCAGCAAGTCCACGAGTGTATTTGTTTGAGGTTTTAACTGTTTATGAAGCCACAAAAGAATGAAGTGAATGAAAAACGCTGCAGGTAGGCCAGTGCTTCTCCTGTCACCATTAAACTATGAAATCAGCAGATGGATCAGTCGTGTCTGCTGCCAGCAAACGTTCACGATTTAATTCTGTAAAGCCATCAAACATGGTTGCACGTTAATTTTCTGTCAATCAACAAACTCATTGATGGACTATTTGTTAGTGTGTTTGGGGTCAGACGTCTCCTCGTCTAATGGCCTATTGTGAGCGTAGAAGACGTTTAAACCAGCTGAGCTCCAGAGTAAACACAGAGCGGCTTCATGCGGCTGGTAAAACCGGCTCATGGTGTGTAAAAGGCGCAGAGGGCAGCTGGACACACTGACTGGAGGCCTGTGGGAGCCGACAGGTGACGCTTTGTAATCCTACTAAAACACCACATAAACCATATTGGAGCAGGACGACTGTACGGCAGCAGTCGCTCTGAACACACACATTCACTCTGTGCACGACTTCACAGTGAATCTGAACAACTTCACGGTGACGTGAGAAACAGCAAATGAAACGACTGTTATTAAGAACTCCACTTGTGTTCATTAGACATATTACAGACTTCTGGTGAAAGTCAGACTCCCTGATGTTCAACTATTCAGACACATGTGGAGACGAGCTGGGAGGAAATGCGACGGCGTGCGCTGCCAGGCTGCCACATGCGTTCTGCTGATGCACCTTATTTAGAGAATCCGCCCAATCACAGGACAAGCATTTCTCTGACCTCAACTTTCCGGCAGGATTATGAAACCCTGCACTGAAAATAATAACAAATCTGTACGCTCCTCATTCCCTCCACCAAGTATATTTGCCTGATTGACTATTCTCTCCCAAGTATGTGGGTAATCGTCTATTGAGAGCACATTTCCTTATCAGCGTCTAGCACACTGTCTGAATCCGTTATCACAATGGGCCAGATCAGTGCAGGCAGCCCCTCGCTCTCCCGGCTGAGGCGCCCATGAAAAAGAATTTCTGGAGTTGGGTGCCAAGCGATAGGCCATGAGCTCTTTATCCCCTTAAAGCCAATTCACACTCTGCATGTTTAAATATCTCAGCTCAACCCCTGCCCTCCCACTCCCGTCACACACTCCAACCCCTCCTCCTCTCCTCGCCTCCCTCTCAGCCCTCCAAGTCCCGGCGTGGCCTGGCGCCGTGGCCGACCTGCAGCGGGCGTGTGGGTGG